ATACAGAAGTTACATTACAGTAACTGACAGAATGTCGAATTTTCATCAACAGTTTCCATTGTAAGTGCAAAACGGTCAACAAATTGAGTTTGTTTTTATGAACAAAAGCATAAAAAGAAATGGTCTTCTACGTTCTGTAGTAATCAACAACAAGCCACAGATAATGTCCATAAATTTTAACTTGAAAGGTTACATTTATGTTTAATGTTATTCTTACAAATTAAAAATAAAATACTCTCTTCTTTTGGATTAAAATGTAAACTAAAATTGTATTTCATGTTTGAAAAGACCTAATTATTTCATCTGATGTAATTTTTCTTGAACTGATCAGTCAGTTCTGTATTCAAAGTGGCATCTGAGTGTGCATGTATTAAAGTGTGTTTTCCTATAGGACAATATCTGGACTGATGGCAGGAGAGGTCCACATTTTATTCATTACATGGTCATTTACATGAAGTTACGCATCAGTAAATGCCATCCATGGCTGCAGCCCTCACATGTGTCATGAGCTTAAGATCAGCGCTTGAAGCGCCTCATATTTGAAATCAATAAACTTCAGCTTTTGGGATTGTGATTATAATCTTGCCATTTTAGCTAGGCTTGGTCTGATGTTGATATAAGCATGATCTGATCTGTTTGAAGGTGTGTCATACACATGTATGACGGCCTTCCGTCCGAGGATGTGTCGCCCCGGCTGTTCAACTTCTTGGATTTGTCCGGTGTCAGATTAAGAGAGCGTGCTCAGAAATCTTCCACTCAATTTGGCGGGACGAGGGGCGAGTGGGGCGGGTGGATTCTCCATATATAAGTGCTGGTGTCCTCCAGACAATTTTCACGCAGTTTGCTTCATGACTTCATGTCAGCTCGCACGTCAATGCGTCCACCAATCGCATTCTGTTCCTTTAGCTCAGAAATTTTTGTTGCATTAACTTGAGATTTTTTTGTGTGTGTGTGGTTGTGCCTTTTTTCGTAATGAATTACTCCATGTCAGACATGTATGACATAGGCCACGGTGTGAGTGGGGGATATGCGGTGCCCCCCGGAGGCGAGTACTGCATGTACGGTGGCGAAGGGCCTGGTTTCGCTCGCTGTGAGCCGCAGCCGTTACACCACCATCCTCCCAGCATGGAGCAGGCCTGGCCGCACAACCAGCCCTATGGGTGCCCGTTTACTGGGGGCAACCCTGTGTTCAAGAGCGAGTTGTGCTCCATGGACGTGCCTCTCAGTCACTATCACCAACCAGACTACTACTCTGACGGCAGGCCGGACTTCTCTCAGATGCAGTGGATGCAGGGGCCACACAAGAAAGGTATCGCAAGCTCTAGAAGAAGCATAGAGGTGCTGTTGTGAACCGGAGTTGTGTCTTTTCTTGAGCTGTTCTTAAGCTTATAATTGGCATGCTTTTAGGTGGCTGCCTGTTTGCCAGTGTAATATCTCAGTCCAAAATTAATGTACTCAGCAATCTGTGTTAAACTTCAGATGTGCTCAGTTGAGATCTGATTAAGTAATATTTTGATTTGTAACTATAAAAGTAGTGTTTTATCGTCTGATGTTTGAGGATTGATGAGATGTACAGCAGTTCTAAATAGAATCTGGATTCTTCACAAATGTGTCCAAATGTGTGATTGCAGTCGATAGTGAAGACAAAAGCTGCAGGAGATTTTCTCAGCTCAACTAACTTCACTTGTCTGAGACAATTTTTCAAAGACTTGTAATCAGCTGGTATTTTGGTGATTTGTTTTTGTAGTGGATAAATGAACATGTCAGACATGTATGACATAGGCCACGGTGTGAGTGGGGGATATGCAGTGCCCCCCGGAGGCGAGTACTGCATGTACGGTGGCGAAGGGCCTGGTTTCGCTCGCTGTGAGCCGCAGCCGTTACACCACCATCCTCCCAGCATGGAGCAGGCCTGGCCGCCCAGCCAGCCCTATGGGTGGCCGTTCACTGGGGGCAACCCTGTGTTCAAGAGCGAGTTGTGCTCCATGGACGTGCCTCTCAGTCACTATCACCAACCAGACTACTACTCTGACGGCAGGCCGGACTTCTCTCAGATGCAGTGGATGCAGGGGCCACACAAGAAAGGTATCGCAAGCTCTAGAAGAAGCATAGAGGTGCTGTTGTGAACCGGAGTTGTGTCTTTTCTTGAGCTGTTCTTAAGCTTATAATTGGCATGCTTTTAGGTGGCTGCCTGTTTGCCAGTGTAATATCTCAGTCCAAAAGTAATGTACTCAGCAATCTGTGTTAAACTTCAGATGTGCTCAGTTGAGATCTGATTAAGTAATATTTTGATTTGTAACTGTAAAAGTAGTGTTTTATCGTCTGATGTTTGAGGATTGATGAGATGTACAGCAGTTCTAAATAGAATCTGGATTCTTCACAAATGTGTCCAAATGTGTGATTGCAGTCGATAGTGAAGACAAAAGCTGCAGGAGATTTTCTCAGCTCAACTAACTTCACTTGTCTGAGACAATTTTTCAAAGACTTGTAATCAGCTGGTATTTTGGTGATTTGTTTTTGTAGTGGATAAATGAAGTCAGTTTCCTCAACTTCACGCAGATGTTCTAGTAACCACATGTTTAGTTTATCTCATTAAAACTATCATTATAAAGCGGATAGTTCCGGTCCTTGATTCTGATTGGTTGAGCCGCGTTCGAAGCTGTTGTAAATTACTCTACAAACATACACCTTTGTTTACTTCTGTGTGTTGCTCGGCAACCACTTTGTTGGAACCACAACTGTTTCTGAGGAGCTACATTGTTTGGTGGAAGAATACTGTTTTTATTAATAGCATTACACTTTATTTGCTCTGTTTTATTCTGTGAAACCTTACTACGTATATGGAATAACCATTTTATAAAAGCAATAAGCCCCGTGAAGCCGTGGTTTACAGTGAATTTATAACAGCTAAGGGGGTTTTAGGCACTCCGCGAGTTGAACACACTATGATTTTATTTGAAACAGAACAACTTGGTTTGACACTTGCTTTGATAACTTCATTCTAATGCAATAATATTCAGCAATTTTTAAGTGTGGTTTAAGAGTCTGAATAGATGTTGCCGCCATTTTATATCTGTGTTCTGTCCTTCGTTTGTGCCACTCAGAAATGTTAGTTAGCATGCAATGATGGGGAAAGTTACTTTTAAAAGTAATGCATTACAATATTGTGTTACTCCATTAAAAAAAAAGAAACTAAATGTGTTACTTAGTTGCTTTTTATGAAAAGTAGTTTGTTACGTTACTTTTTGCATTACTTTTTCTCATCTGGTCAGGGCTTGCTTGTTTGTTTTTAATATAAAAAAGTTATATTTTTGCCAATTGTAAAAGCCCTTTCACACCAAAAGTGAAATGAATAAGCCTCAGGAATTCTGCATTGCATGAAGAATATGACACATGAGAAGAAACACTAAAAAATAAGTTATGTTAATCTAAAGTAATTTCTGCTTATTAGTATGGTTGAATTGGATCATTGAAGGTCAGCAGAGAAGACACTGGTTAATAAAATGGGATTAAATACATAAAGTATATTTGACATATTGTTATTTGACATTTAATTATTGCAGGTTTGTTAAGGGTGGTTTAAAAGTCTGAATAGATGTTGCCGCCATTTTATATCTGTGTTCTGTCCTTGGTTTGTGCCACTCAGAAATGTTAGTTAGCATGCAATGATGGGGAAAGTTACTTTTAAAAGTAATGCATTACAATATTGTGTTACTCCATAAAAAAAAAGAAACTGAATGTGTTAGTTGCTTTTTATGAAAAGTAGTTTGTTACGTTATTTTTTGCATTACTTTTTCTCATCTGGTCAGGGCTTGCTTGTTTGTTTTTAATATAAAAAAGTTATATTTTTGCCAATTGTAAAAGCCCTTTCACACCAAAAGTGAAATGAATAAGCCTCAGGAATTCTGCATTGCATGAAGAATATGACACATGAGAAGAAACACTAAAAAATAAGTTATGTTAATCTAAAGTAATTTCTGCTTATTAGTATGGTTGAATTGGATCATTGAAGGTCAGCAGAGAAGACACTGGTTAATAAAATGGGATTAAATACATAAAGTATATTTGACATATTGTTATTTGACATTTAATTATTGCAGGTTTGTCATATTCTGCGTTTGCATTTCACTGTTTTATTCATTTTGAGGAATACTGAATCTGTTTTTGGGTGAGTGAGATGAGTAAATGCATGTTCACATTTAGTCTAGATCTACAGTAAGATAATGTTCACACACAACACCTCTGCACTCACTCCTGATTTCTCTCAACATGAGGACAGGAGAGCTGTCACTCAATACATGAGAAAATAAAGTAACTGACATTACTTATTTGATAAAGTAACTTGATATTTTCTTGTAAATTAAAAAGTAATGCGATACTTTACTAGTTACTTGAAAATAGTAAACTGATTCCGTAACTCTCGTTACTTGTAATACATTACCCCCGACACTGTTAGCAAGTATTGGAAAAGCTTTTATTACAGTGTAATATAGTAAAGCTGCTGAATTAGTCTTCTGGACTGAACTTGAAGAGACTGTATTCTTCACTATCCCTCTTTCAAAGACCTGTTGCAGATATTCGTGGAGCTACATTGTGTAGTGTATTGATCTTCAGTGTAGGATGGAGGTTTGGGGTATTGTGTGTTGTATTGATTTGTAAGGACACAGACAGAGGAACAGAAGGTTTGAGCTCATGTCCTCCCTCTGACCTCCACGAAAGACTCATTGATCATATTGATTCCTGAGCTTCTGCAAACTGCCTACACATATGTGTGCCTTAAAACTTGTATTTCCCTGTGTTTCTGTCTCAATATAAAAGCATTCTGATAAAATTACCTCTAGTATCTTTTACTTCTCATCTCTCACATTGCTTTATTTTCTCTTATACTTTTCTTTGTTTGCACAAAGTGCAATTTTATCTATTTTCATGCAGATATTTTCAGGTTAAATTAGCTTATTTTAATATAATGTGTTTATGACTGTACCTGTAACTTCTTATAGGGTACATACCAAGTTATCTGGACAAGGATGAGCTGTGTGTTGTGTGTGGGGACAAAGCGACTGGATATCATTACCGCTGCATTACCTGTGAGGGCTGCAAAGTGAGTGTTTGAATTAAGCTGTTCTCTTCTCTTATAAAAGCACACTGTAAGAAAAAATCTGTAGAAAAATGCAATGGTAAATTTACAGATATTCCCTAAACCCTAAAACACAACACATTTGACCCTATTTTTACATACTTAAAAAAAAAAGTGCATTAATTAATTACACTATTAATTTATTACATTAATAGCATGTACCACATATACTCTGTTTAAACGACTTCATTATGATATTTCTAGGAAGGTTCATGCTTGGCAATTAAAAATGAAATTTTGTTTTCAAGGGTTTTTTTCGACGCACAATTCAGAAGAACTTGAACCCAACATATGCGTGCAAGTACGAGGGCAAGTGCGTCATAGACAAAGTCACCCGCAACCAGTGCCAAGAATGTCGCTTCAAGAAATGCATCGCTGTTGGCATGGCAACAGACTGTGAGTAACACACTTCAGTGGCCTTGAACCCCTGTCCCAGCAGTGTTGTGCGTAGCTCGTGCAAACATGTTGTTGTTCCTCCAGTGGTGTTGGATGACAGTAAGCGTCTTGCCAAGCGGAAGCTTATCGAGGAGAACCGCCAGCGGCGGCGGCGCGAGGAGCGGCAGAAGACGGTGTGGGAGCGACCCGAACCCACGCAGGAGGAGTGGGAGCTCATCCGGGTCGTCACTGAGGCCCATATGGCCACAAACGCCCAAGGCAACCATTGGAAACAGAAGCGCAAATTCCTGGTGAGAGGTCTCTTCCCTGACGAGCACATAGCAGCGATATTTCTTGTGTTTTAGGACGTTTCTTTATTTTGGATGTGATTCTGTTTGTTTTTGGGGGTTTTTTTTTCACAACCCTAGATTCCCCTTCCCGCACAATTCCCAAGCCCTTCCTCACCGCTGTTCCCAATGTTAATATGTCCATGTTTTTGTATCTCCTTGTAGAGTGGGGAGTGTTAGATGGACGCGGGAGACTCTACCACAAAGGCAGCAGCACTAACTTTAATAGGACACCTTTGTCCTTCTATTCTGAAGCTCCGTTTCCTAAACCAAACTGTTTTCTCATGTTTGTTTCTTTTCTGATCTTCTTCTATCTGTCTTTCTCTAACCAAGTTCCTGATTGTTTCACAATTCTTCTGTTCTCTTGAATCTAACTCTCCTCTACAGATTGACGTTCTGTTCTCTTTTAACTCCGCTGTGGGTTTCCATGAGATGTTTAGTTGCCTTCTTTAAATGTTTGCAATTGTGTTTCATCACAGTAAAAAAATTTTTTTTGCCCATTACATTTGCTTCAGTATGTCATTCTAATAATATGACAGATCTGCAAGTTACAGCATTAAGATAAAGATGTTTTAATAGCATTTCTGATTTAACTGTGAAGTGTGTATTTTCTTTGCCACAAGTGAAACCAAATGGAATTGTTTGAGTGGTCAGACACAACAACATAACGTCTCGGGTTACGCATGTAACCATGGTTCCCCGAGAGGGAACGAGACGCTGCTC